TTGACCTTAATTACACATGAATAGCTATACTCGATTCTAAGCCGTTCTTTTGCCATGAATCTCCCTACAAAACAAAAATTGAAAAATATTTTTGGTCTTTTGGTTAGAGGTTAATAAACAGAAACAAACATAAAGCAAGTATGAAACAACAAGGGACCTAAGAAAAATCAAAAAGTATGGTCTTGTTTGTGGAATGATATGCAAATGAAATGTGGAATCTTAGGGGTAAAAATTAGGGTATTACAGTTAGTAAACATAAACATAAACAAATATCAAACAAACAAGACACAAGAGTGCCCAGTGATCGCTCAAGAATAAACCTACAGAGGAAGACAAAAGAGAATCAAAGCTTGCAATCTTGTTTGTGAGATGAGATGCAAATGATATGTGGGATCTTAGGATTAAAAATTAGGGTATTATAGTTTCCACTTTTCTTTTCGTGCGATATTGCTTTCAGAGAGTGATCTACATATCACTTCTCTAGCATGCATTAGCACTAACATTTTTATTGACTGGCTTCAGATAATCGTGGTTTCTACATAAACCCAATTACGATTGCTTAACATAATGCTAAATTATCCTGTAATCGGAAAATGATCATTCATGGCCCAAACTTATGTTTGAAAGTCCAAGTATGGTTGATTATTTGTCTTAGGTCCATCACCTATGAAACTTGTTGTTACCAGGCTTTGATTTTATCAATCCTCTAATGAGTCTTCATTAACTTTGGCCTAAGTGCATGAGTTAACCATCGGTGATCATTCGTTCTAACAACTAATCACTAACTCACTAACAATATCATTGTACTAATTTTGTTTATGTTTCCTTCTTGCTCCATATCTATCTTTTATTTTTATGCTCCATTTTTATCATCTCATATCATATTATTGTTTATAATTCCATTATTTTTCCTTTGTCCGTTGGACACATGTTTATGTTTCCGTTCTTTTTCTTTTGTCCATTTGAACCATATAATGTTCAAAACACTAATAAAGGATTAAACCATTAAAAAAATTGGTGCTCTTAACTTTGTGGTTATACTCTTGGACTATTATTATACCTTGGACCTCTTGGACCCTTGGACTTAGAATTAGGTCTCTTTCCCTATGCTTGGAGTATTATGGATCTTTGTCTTTATTTGGCTTGCTTATTTGCTATGCTTAAAGATGGATGATATTCTTATTTGGCTTGCTATGGAGTTTGCTATCATTTGTTTAAATCCTTCTTATGTCTAGCTTTTATTTTGCTTTCTAGGATAGTAACTTCATCTCCTCCCCTTCTTAAATTTTCAAAATCTTCTCCCTTTTTCAAAAACCTTCTTGTTTTCAAACTTAAAACCGCTTTCATAATAAAACCTTGACTTTTGTCAAGTGATTTTCAAACTTTTTTCTTTAATAAATGTTAATCATATTTTGACCAATTTCAAAAAGATATAAAAAACACTCCACCTCATTCAAACCTTTTGTGCCTTTGTGCACTTTTCATTTTAAATCTTTTCATAAAATTTAGACATGAGTCATTTCCATAGTTGAGATATAATTTTTTTATTCCCCATAGTATTTAAGATGTTGACATTTTCCACTTAGATGTTGAGTGATAAGCTTCTTGATTTTAATCCAAGCAAAATCCTCCATCTTTAGGTGATGCAAGTGTTGTCTTATACTTGTGGGCAACTAGTTGTAGTTTTCTCCTTAAAATGATGACTTGTCTTTACATTTAAAATCAATCAAAACCAACAAATTTTTGTTATTTGTACCACGAACTACGAGGTTTTGATCCTATATTGCACTTTGTGGGTACGTAGGCATGAGGCGATATGTCTCTCCAAACACAAAAATCTTATTAAACAATTCTCTTCTCATCTCCTCAATCTTTTTTCAAACAAACCTTTTCAAACCAAAAAGCGTAGATATTTCAAAGGGATCATATAGAGTTCTATAGACGTTTTGGATACTAACACCTTCCCATTGCGTAACCAACCACCTTACCCATTCTCTGTTTTTTTGTTCTTGTTTTTTAAAACTCTTAGGTTTTGTTCGCTCTTTTTTCTTTCCTTCTTTGGATAAAGTAAAAGTGCGATGATGTCTCTTGCATTTTGAGTTAAGTTAATCAATAACTTACACTTACAAATTTCCACGCTACACCTACATGTCATTGTATAGAGGCCATTGTATGAGCGACTATAAAGGGATAAGACTTTCCGAGGCACTTATGGGAGGGCAGCAAGATGTCATTCTATCTGAGGCACGAACGACATTGCAGTACATGAGACAGAGAAGAAACATGAGGGAGTCAGATATACCTAGTAGTATTTAATAATATTTGTATTATAGAATATGGATAGTATTATGATTTATAATTTTTCGTTTTGATAGTATTATTGATTATAGATTGGTTATAATATTTAACATTTTAATCTTATTACATTAGTGTATGGTTTAATTGATAACAAATTTATTATGATAGTATATTGTGAGAGTATAAATGGTTTATTACGTCACTATACTTATTAGATTTGTGTATTTCTTAATAAATGTCAGATTTTACTCTCTAAAGGGTGATTAAGGAAGTATACTTCCGTAAAATTTACAGAGATACATCTCAAGACTAATTTAAGATAAAAATAAGGGTGTGACTCACTTACGAACAATGCGTACAAAAGTATACTTATGAATTTTTAAAAGATAATTTTAGGATTTTACAAGATTTATGTTCACCACTAAGGGCGAGGAGAGCAACCCATATTTTGAGTTTCATAAAGTGGATGATATTCCCCTAAGATGGGATAAGAAATGGCCTAATTTTTAGTGTATTGTGGTCGATGTCCCCATAAGATGGGATAAGCAATAGCCTAATTTTGGCAATTTCTTTTCCCACCCTTATATGTTCTTCTAAATCCTAAGCGAAAAGTAAAAAATGCCCATAATTTTCAGAGATGCATTTCTGAACGCACCTAATTCTCACAAAATTGAACAGAAACGAGTGGGTCACCCATTATACTTAATTTTGGAGATGCATCTTTGAATACACCATATTTTTGTAAAAAAAAATGGTGTTTTTGGATACGCATATCTGTAAAGTGTTCTGTTGTATTTTTTAAAACAAATTTAGTATGAAGGGTGTATCCGGATAGGCAGACCTAGCAGTCATGCATTAGCAATGTAACAAATATGTAAATATCAACAATGTTCTCAATGAGAAAAACAATTGAAAAAAAAATGATTAAACTAAAATTATAAAAATATGAAAATACACTCTAGAAAATTTCAGAGATGCATCTATGGACCAATTTTTGGCAAAAATGGGGTGACTGCTTGAATTATGAAGGATAGAGAGATTTAAGGTGCGTCAGGAGATGCATCTCCTAAAATTTCTGAGTGCATTTTTGGGTTTCAAGGGTGTGAGCCACACCACAAAGGTGGGAAACAAAATGAGATTTTTTTTAATACATCCTATGGATTGCTAGTACACCTTGTAAAAGTCTGAAAATACCATCATGTTTCAGAGATTTACACATCCCATAATACATCTAATACATACCAAGTAAATCACACCTTCATATTAGGGATGGCAACGGGGCGGGTCGGGGCGGGTTTTACTATACCCGCATTCGCCTCCATGTAACACACCCGCCCCCGCCCCCAAACCAAATCGGGGGTAAAAATTTACCGTCCAGACCCGCCCCCAGTAGAGAACGGGTGCACCCGCACCCGCCCCCACCCGAAAAAAATTAATTTCTATTTAATTGTAATAAAAATTAATAATTTAATTAAAAATTGATTATTTTAATAAATTAATTAATTATTTAATTAAAAATTTAATTAGTAAATGAATATTAATTTGATTAATTTAATTATTTTAATTGCAATAAAGGTATTAATAATTTAATTTAAAATATAATTAATAAATGAATATTAAAATAAGTAAAATAAGATAATTAAACTAAAATGCATTATTCAGGGGCGGGGCGGGGCCGAGTGCGGGCGGGTCTTAGTGTCTCCCCGCATCCGTACCCGCACCCGTAATTAAAAGTCAGATTTTTCCCGCACCCGCACCCGTACCCACTCAAACCGGATTTTCTCCGCTAATTTCGTGGCGGGTCCGGATTTTTTTGCCATGCCTACTTCATATTGTAAAAAACAAATCCAAAAATTATATTTTTAAAATTCGAAAATACATTTTCATAATTTTTTGAACCATGTAATGGTGATTTATATAATTTTTTGAGGCTCATAAATGCTAAACACAAAAGATAATGTAAGAAATTATGGAATACATAATCTAAGGTCAAAAATTATGGATTACTGACACAAAAGATGATGCTATCGTCTTAAGCCAACCATGTGAATCCATTTTTTTATTTCTTCAATAGGTGACAAGTAAATGAGTATAGACAAACACAATGCACACCAATACATTTTATAGAGATACATCTTCAGATATTTTTCTTAGATAAAATAGATGTGTCACCTGCAATGTTTTTATTGGTGCAATTTTAAGTCTATTTGAAGATGCATTTTTAGAATTTGAAAATTATTTTTAAATTTTCATAGGGTGTTTTCCTATCCCATATGATACAATTAGAAATCTAAAGAAAAAAAACTTAATTTTTCTAGTATTTTGGTCGATAATCCCCAAAGAAATTGCCTTACTTTTTCTAGTATTTTGGTGGATGGCCCTATTTGTTTGGGCTACATAAAACTGTATTCTACTCAGCCCAAACATAAGGTAGGCAATGGACACATGAGTTTCAACCCAAGAAACCCAATCTAATACCTCAGATTATATTACTCAAGTCATGCGAATCTAAAGTTGATGATGATTACACAAAAAAAAGATAACCTTATCCATTCATTTCCAACTGAGAAGCTGCCACATCAGTCATAACCAAATATCCCAAAAATCTCCACCTCAAATTCTCCATAGTCTCCACCACCATTACCTCTCTCTCATAACACACGCACCACACCCATTTCCCTTCACTCCGAAAATCAATTCCAATGGCTTCAACTTCGATAATCTCAATGGCCGTGCCAGTAACCTGTGCCACCACCAAGAAGATAGAGTCACCAACCTCTCATGCATTCTTCAAGACACCTCTGACTCTGAGGCCATCTAAGTCAAACGGAAGGTTTCAAGTGAAAGCATCGCTGAAGGAGAAAGTTGTGACAGGGCTGACAGCAGCTGCATTGACAGCTCAAATGGTGATTCCTGATGTGGCTGAAGCCGCTACTGTTTCGCCTTCTTTGAAGAATTTCTTGCTCAGTATTGTCTCTGGTGGAGTTGTGGTTACTGCCATTCTTGGAGCTGTTATCGGTGTTTCCAATTTCGATCCTGTCAAGCGAGGCTGAGAAGATTCCCAGGCCCAGCAAGAGGGTATTTTAGTATTTCTCTCATTATATTTATCTCTATAATGTATTCTGAAATGAACTCTGTGTTGTGTGTAATATCATAATATGTGACTCTTGATCTTCTCTTGAGCATTAGTTTTCTTATTCTTAAATTCGTGTTATTTTTTATTTTGGCTAATCATAGAAAATATTAATAACTACATGCATGGATGAATAATTAACATTATATTAAAAAAGAAGTTAGAGATATGGTTTATCTTACTTCTCTGAGTTTCCATTGATTTGTAAAAAAAAACCCGGAACCAGAAAAAAAGAGTAACGCAAGTTTTAGAATCTTTTGTTACCATTCTTAATGAGTTAGTAAGTTCATTCTCAAAATTGGAAAAAGGGAGAGGGGCATTTGAAAAATTTGAGGGTTTCAGTGTGTACCAGAGACAAACACTTGTTATTTTACAATTGAAATTTCTAGTATATCAGACTTTGGTTTGGATTAGTCTGTGCGTTAGAAGATGCTTGATGCCTAGAGAATTTCCGATGGTGAAAAAATTGAAAGTATATTGATTGTGTAAAAGAAGAAAATGCTAAAGAAGCTCATGTTGTGTATATGGGAGCAATAGAGAACAAGAGATAGCTTTAAAATGTTTCGGGAAATGTATTTTTGAATTACAAGATGCATTTTCAGAATAAATTCAATAAACTATTTAGGGTGTGACTTAAAAAATTAATGACTTATATATATTTGAGATATAAACGGAGATATATCATCAGAATCAGTAAACACTTTTGATTTTTCAATAAGATGAAATAGCAAATTTCAGAGTTCTTTAAATAGTTCCTTTCATAAAAAGAACTTTTGGGCTTTAGTTGACCCATTTACCGCAGGTCAAGGTTAACAAAGGCCTAATAAAAACCAAAAGTTATTCGCATTCCTCATAAAATTTTCCCAATTAGAGTTTTGATAGAACTAGAAAAATAGGTTGTCATTAAACAACAAGAAATTATCAAATAAATAATAACGTTATTTTAGGACAAATTGATTTCACATATATTCACCCAAATTTGTCCATGATAAAAATCTATATGGTTTTAAATCATAAATACAATGATAAATATAACTTTATAAATAAATTTTAATATAAACTGCAGTGATATATTTATAAAAGGTGAGCATAGGAGACACATGGATCGACCCATGGTAGATGCCCACTTAAGTGGGCATGATGCCTAAACATGACCCCGTCTCCCAATGGCTCGTCCTAGGAAGGAAACATGGATAATGATGTGTAGGTTGTTCATAATTACATTTAGAAACATTCATGATCACGATTTTTAAAAAGTAGGCCGTCCTTAGACTTCAAGGTCAAGGGTCGAACGATTAACACTTCTCATGATTTTCCAAATCTAGGCCTGTAGGCCTCTACAAATATCTCATCCTTAAGGTTGCGAGAACAATCTCATATTCACCAAAATTATCCTAATAATAAGCTTCTCACCTCGTAAGTTTGCTCTAACCACACACACACACACAAAATACCTCCAAAACAGAGCTCCTCGCCCTCTTGAACTTACCATAACACCCAAAAACATTATAGCCTCTAGCCACCCCAGATAGCCTAGTGGTACCACAACATATATTCATCAATGAACATGTAATTTGTCATACGATCCAATCATCACCTTCACCAACCTTTACACTCATGTTCAAAGCTTCATATATTCATCAATGGAATAAAATTTCATATGCATAAACATGATGAATCAAACATGAATTTAGTCACAACCAATCAATTAATCAACATAATCAATCACAAATTCATATTTGCACACAACAACAACACATCTAAAATAGAATTATACAACCCTAATGAGAGCAATGACATCTCTTATCTACCCTATCATGCAATACACCCATAATGAAAGCCTTTTCTTCCCTTAGATTTCCAGTAAAAATAGCAAAAACAAGTAACTCTTATGAATTGTCCATTTCAAACCCTAAATCTCCCTTTCAATGTTGTTGTTTCTCTAAACCTAATTTCCTCTAATTTCTGAATACATAATATTCTATTTATCTTTCCACAATTACATTTTTTGCCTAACTAACTTTCAGTTTCTCTCCTCTTACCATATACTTCCCTCAAATTACATAATTAACTCCATTCCTCATATATTACCAATTTCTGATTTCATTTCTAATATTAATTAAAACTAATAATTATTCTACCAAACACCCGTGTTCTCACCACACCTTACCAATACCATTATACCTCATCAACACACACAATCACACAATTTCCTTAAAGGCACGTGAAACACAAAATAATTAAATAAAAATCTAAATAATTTGATTAAATAAATTAATCAAGTTCTAGGGTGTTACAATTCTCCCCTACTTAAAAAAATTTCGCACTAAAAAATTACTTGAAGGAAACAGAGTCGGATACAATTCTCTCAACTAACACTCCAGCCCCCACGATATGCTTCCACCTGCTAGTCCCCCCCATACGACTTTCACTAGTGTAACCTCCTTGCCTCTCAAGTAATTTACTTCCCGATCCTCTATTCTCAAGGGAGATGCCTCCACGATCAAGTTCTCTCTAACTTGCACACCATCCACTTGAATCACATGAGACGGATCGGGAATATGCTTCCTCAACTGAGATACCTGAAAGACATTATGAAGATTCAAAAGATATGGCGATAATGCCACTCGGTAGGCCACATCTCATTCCCTTTGAAGAATCCAAAATGGACCAATGAAACATGGCATGAGCTTTCGAGACTTTAAAGCTTGACAAATCCCAGTTACCAAAGTAACTCTTAAAAACATGTGATCTCCCTCTTGGAACTCAAGTGATCCCTCCTCTTATCATGATAGCTCTTTTGAAGAATCTACGAAGCTTTCATCTCCTCTTAGATCATTTTGATCTTCTCAGAGTTTTGCTGCACAATCTCAGGTTCAAGCAGATCACTCTCACCCGATTCATACTAATACACGAGGTCCTACACCTTCTACCATGCAAAGCCTCGAATAATGCCATTCTAATACTTGAACGAAAACTGTTATTGTAAGTGAACTTAATCAGCAGTAAGTAGTTATCCCAAGCACCTCCTTGTCATCGCACACAACCCCTCAACAGATCCTCCCAAGATTGGATGGTTCTCTCCATCTGACCATCTATCTACAGATGATATGCATAATTCAACTTTATCTTAGTACCAATCGCTTCCTGTAGACTCTGTCAAAACCTCGATGTAAACCTCACATCTCTATTTGATACAATACTCAACGAAATACCATGTAGGCTAACAATCTTCTCAATGTATAACTTGACTATATTTTGCAAAGAATGACTGATCTTAATCAGTATGAAATGAGTCTGAGCGAGTCCTTTGAAGCATCATAATACACAACAAAGGACTCGCTCGGACTCGACAAAATCAAAACTAAAATGAACGTTAACTTTGTCTTGAGTTTTTGAAAACTCGCTTCGTAGTGCACATCCCAAACATTAGCTTGATCATTTCAAGTCAATTGAGTTAACGAAAATGCTAACTTTGAAAAGCCTTCAATAAACCTCTTGTAATAACCGGCCAAACTAAGTAAACTTTGACCTTAGTAATATACTTCAGAATCTCCCACTGCAACATCGCATGTATCTTCGACGGATCTACATCAATACTGTAAGAGCAAGATTTGTCTCTACAGGATTATCTCTATGTTTTGATGATAACAATTGAGTATTTGTGAAAGAACCATTTTATGGTTTAATGTTTGTTATGTGCAGGTCATATTAAATTAAATATATTAGACCAAACAAACAAAAGCAACGTGTGCAGCTAGTAACTTATGGAATTACTTAATGTGACGTCATGAAGTGCTTGTAAGAAGCTAGTTTGCTTATGTATCTGATCACCATCAGTAAAGAACCAAGGGTGCTGGATATTGCAGTTGCAATGCTCCTGTGGTTTCTGCTCTGAAGAAGTGCATCTGATCTAAAAGCAAATGAAGCTCAGTGAAGAAGCAAGTTTGTCTCTGCATCTGATCATGTTCAGTACAGAATCAAGGATGCTGGATATTGCAGTTGCAATGCATCTATAGATTCTGCTATGAGTTATGCATCTGATCTGGAAGCTAACGAGCGTCTCTGAAGAGTGAGTCCTATAAAGAACAAAGTGCTGAAGACTCTGATGACTTGAAGTTCTGAAGGCTGAAGGCTCTGAAGACCAAGTGCGTCAAGACTCTGAAGACATGTTCTGTAGGTCAAGACTCTGAAGATATAATCATCTGAAGAAGTTTGTGCTGAAGACTCTGATGACTTGAAGTTCTGAAGGCTGAAGGCTCTGAAGACCAAGTGCAAAAGACTCTGAAGACCAGACTCTGAAGGAGAAAGATTATGAAGCTTCACCAGACAAGACGTGTTCAATCAGATGAGCTGTTGCTATCAACTCTGATGAACAAAGTGCTGAAGTCAGAATCTGATGTTTATTATGCTATCTATACCAAAGTAGTTTCTGAACTACCCATCTGTAACATCAGAAGAAGAACCAAGCCAGAAGCAAATTTGTCCAAGCTGTTAAATGAAATATTACCGTTGCAAGAAAAGGACAAGAAAGTGATGTCATCCAACACGTGCTTATCTATCCGTTGAGATATGACCGTTGGAGTTTGAATGAACATCCTTATCCTCACAACGTCATTCTTGGAAGCACTATAAAGGCAGAATCATTTGATTATTCAAATGTTGCTTGGTGAGCTGAAGTGGTTACTAAGTGGCTGGAGCTGTTGCTCGTATTTGCTACTTGCGCTGTTGTGCTACTGTTGCCATGAAGAAAAGCTCTTAAGTAATATAAAAGCTATGTTTTAATAATCTCTTAGAGATTTATTATTAGATTAGTTTTTATATTAGAAAGCAAGGAGTTGTTGCTCAATACTTGCTAGGAACTTAATTAGGAGTAATCTGCTTATTTGAGAAGCACTTATGTAATCTCCGGCAACACAA